TCTCTGTCCAAAGGGCTCCCTTTAGCATCTCTTGTAAGGTTGGTCTGGTTTTAACAAATTCCCTTAATTTTTGCTTATCTGGAAATGTCCTAATTCCACCAGCAGTTTTGCTGGGTACATACATCTTGGTTGGAAATTTTTCTCTTTCAGTGTTTTATATATACCATCCCATTGTCTTCTCGCCTGTATGGTTTCTGCTGAGAAATACAAGCTTAGTCTTATTAGTTGCCCCTTGTAGGTAACTATTCATTTTTCCTGTGCTGCTCTCGTGATTCTTTCTTTGTCTTTGGTTTTGGTGAGTTTGATGATGCTATGTCTTGGTGATTTTCTTTTGGGGTCTGTCCTGTTTGGGGTTCGTTGGACTTCCTGAATGGATATATCCTCATCTTTCATCATATCAGGGAAGTCTCTTCCAACAAATCTTGGACAATTTTCTCAGTGGTTTTATTTTTCTCTTCCTGTTCTGGAATTCCAATGACATGTAGGTATTCCTTTTGATGGTATCCCACATAAACCTTAGGCTTTCTTCATTTTGTTTTAATCTTTTTTTCTGATTGTTCCCTTTCCAGAGAAGTATTCAGGTATTTGTCTTCAATCTCACTAATTTTGTCTTCCATTGCTTAAGTTCTACTCCTTTGCCTTTTCAATGTGTTATCCATTTCTGACAATTTAGTATCAATCTTCTGGATTTCTATCTGTAGATTTTAAATCATTTCTAATTTTTCAAGAATAATTGTATTTTCTTCCAAAATTCTTCTAGGGTTTTGTCTGTGTTTTCCTTGATCTGTCTCTCAGTCCTTTGAAGATACCTAAATATAATTCTTTTGAATTCCTTATCAAGGAGTTTCAATCCTGCATCTTCCTCACAGATGTGTTTTGAGTCTATATCCTGGTCCCTTATTTCTCCTGCTTTATCTTGTTTCTTTGCGTGGACTGTGATGCTCTGTTATCTCTGAGACATTGTGACGTTTTTGTGTTTAATTGGTGGTTGTACGTTGGAGTGACTTGCCCATGATTTTCGTGTTTTTGTTTTGTTTTGTTTGTATGTTATCTATACAAGCAGGGTACTGTGCTGTGCTCCTCTATTCACTAGTTGACAGCACTTATATACTCACCACTTGTCTCCTTTGGTTCTCAGCCTCTTGTATGTCTCTGCCCACCCTGGTAAACAGAGCCTATTCTTAGGTCCCTGGAATCTCAATGAGAATCCTATCACTTTAAAATCCAAAATGGTTGCCACTTGTAAAGATTCAAAATGGCTGCACCCTCAGTCACTTTAAATACCTAAAACGGCTGCCACATGTAAACAATAAAAATGGCTGTGCCCTCCGGACAGCAGAAAGTCAACAGCTCAGGTTGCTGTTTCCCTTCCTAGTCATAGGCCACCAGTGCAGTTGTCCCTGTAGCCCTTGGTGACCAGGGCTGATCTTTAGGTCACTTCTCAGGTCCCAACACCACTTGGAAATATTCAGGCTGTTGGTCCTGTCAGAGTAGCTGACAGTCCACAGCTCTGATCGTCTCTGTACTCATTGTTTTTGTTCAGGTTTTTCCACTAGTTGGTGCCTAATCCACTTCTGTATAGTTCCTTTCAAAGCTCAGGGCTCCAGGATTATTTTCTGTATCTCTGTCAACTGGTTTTTCTTTTCTTTGTTGAAGAGGGTCTGTGTCTCTTGTCTGCCTATTATTCCATCTTACCAGAAGTCTCCATACCACTGGTTCTTGATCATATGCTACCTCTTGAAAAGGCTGACCAATTAATTCTTTTTGGTACAGTGACTCTGTGTATTCCTCCCATCTTCTTTTGATGCCTCCTGCATCATTTAATATTTTGCCCACAGAATCCTTCAATATTGCAAATTGAGGCTTTTTCTTCAGTTCTTTTAGTTTGAAAAATGCCAAGTGTATTCTTCCCTTTTCATTTTCTAACTCCTGGTCTTTGCAGATTTTGCTATAATCCTTTACTTAGTCTTTTCAAGTTACCCTTTGAAATGTTCTTCTGTTCAGCTCTTTTACTTCATCATTTATTTCAATTGTTTCAGCTACTCTACACTCAAGAGCAAGTTTCAGAGTCTTGTCTTATATCCATTCTGGTCCTTTCTTTCTTTCCTGTCTTTTTACTGACCTTTGGCTTTCTTCATGTATGATGTCCTTGATGTCACACTACAATTCATAAGGTTTTCAGTCATTAGTGTTCAATGCATCAAATCTATTCTTGAGATGATCTCTACAGTCAGGTGGGACTTACTCAAAGTTGCACTTTGGCTTTTGTGGAGTTGTTTTAATTTTCTTCCACTTCAACTTGAACTTGCATATGAGCAACTGATTGTTCTACAGTTGGCCCTGGCCTTGTTCTGACTGGTGATACTGAGCTTCTCCATCATCTCACTCCACAGATGTAGTTGATATGATTCCTCCATATCCTGTGTATTCTATCCAGCCAGGTACAAGTGTCACCATTTATGTTGGTGAAAAAAGGTATTTGCAATGAATAAGCCATTGGTCTTGCAAAATTCTATCATGGGATCTCTAATGTCGTTTCCTTCACCAAGGCCATATTTTCCAATGTCCAACATGTTTTTGTTTCCAACTTTTGTATTCCAATCACCAGTAATTATCAATGCATCTTGATTGCATGTCTGAACAACTTCTGACTGCAGAAGTTGGTCAAGATTTTCAATTTCTTCATCTTTGGCATTAGTGGTTGGTGTGTAAATTTGCATAATAGTGGTATTAACTGGTCTTCCTTGTAGGCATATGGATATCTTCCTATTGCTGATGGTGTTGAACGTTAGGATAAATCTTGTAATGCTCCTTTTGATGATGAATGAGATGCCATTGTTCTTCAATTTGTCTTCACTAGAAACACAATTTCCTGTGATCAAGGAACCCTGCCTACCACTTGTCTGTCAGTTTGCTTGATCCAAGACATAGTCTTTTCAATCACCTCATATTCATGTGAAAGCTGGATAATAAACAAAGGAGGCTGAAGAAGAATTATGAATTTGATTATGGTGTTGGCAAAAAATACTGACTATACCAGGGACAGCCAGTAGAAGAAATAAATCTGTCTTGGAAAAGGACATCCAGAATGTTCCTTAGAAGGGAGGATGTGGAGACTTTGTCTTACATGCTTTGGACATGTTATTAGAAAGGACATTGTGCTAGGTCAGCGAAGCAGAGGAAGACACTCAACAAGGCAGATGACACAGTGGCTGCAACAAGGGGCTCAAACGTAGCAAAGACTGATGATGGCGCAGGACCGGGCAGTGTTTCATTCTGTTGTACATGGGGTCACTGAGCCAGAACCGATTCATGGGCATCTAACAACAGCAAGAACCCTGCGTGTGAAGTCTCCTAAAAAGCAGCAGCTTCGTGGGTATGTGTGTGTGTCCGTAATAGGGCATCCTGGGACAGTGCTTAGTAAGAAACTGAAACATCAACAGATGAATAGATAAACACACTGGAGTCCAGCTATCCAGTGGAACATTATTCAGCCTTAAAGGATGGAGCTTTGACACCTGCTACAATGTGGATGGAAATATGGTGAGTGAAAGAAGCCTGGCACAAAAAGCTGAGTATTGAATGATTCCATTGATAGGAAATGTCCATTGTAGGCAAGTCTGTAAAATTGGAAACTAGATTAGTGGTTGCCTAGGGGATGGGAGAAGGGAGAATGGAGAGCAACTGCTGGTGGGTGCCGGGCTTCCTTTTGGGTGATGAAAATGTTGTAAACCTAGACTGAGGGGATAGTTGTACAATTCCGTGAACATACCAGAAATCACTGAACTGTACACTTGAAATGGGTGAAGTGTGTGGTAAACGAAATTGTTATGGATTGAAATGTGTTCCCCAAAATATGTACTGAAATCCTGGCCCCTCTACCTGCAAATAGGGTTTTCTTTGTTATGTTAATGAGGCCATACCCAAGTAGGGTGGATCCTAAACCTTAATCCCCTCTGAGTTATAAAATGAACAGAATAGACACACACACACACACACACACAGAGGGGAGGGGGAAGATGAGGACAGAGGACAAGAGGGATGCATCTGTAAGCCCAGCAACACCAAGGATGCTGGCAGCTACTAGAAGCTGAAACTGAAGAGGAAGGACTGCCTCCTAGAGCCAAGTCCCTGAATTTAGACTGCTACCCTCCAGAACTGTGAGAAAATAAATTTCTGTTCTTTAAAGCCACCTCCTTGTGGTATTTATGTTATAGCAGCACTAGAGAACTAAGACAGAAAGAATCTCAATAAAGCTTCATTTAAAAATAAAAAAGAACCCAGAAACTAGCTCTGTGTCCATGATGGGGAGTGGATGGCTCATGGCCTGAGGTGAACCTGCCCATGGACTACTACGATGAATGGCAAAGGGGAGAGGCAGGTTCCTCAAAACACATTGCTGTGTGCCGTCCAGTCAATTCTGACTCACAGCAACCCCAGGTGACAGAGTAGGACTGCTCCATAGAGTTTTCTAGGCTGTCAACCTGCTGAGTAGGTCTGAACTGCCAACCTTTCAGTTAACAGTCAAGCGCTTAACCATTGCACCACTGGGGCTCCTTTTCAAGACACACTGCTGGGGGAAGCAAGCCACTTGCAGACACATAAGTAGAATATCACGTAATTTATGTAAAAATCCCCAGAAAACAATACCATACATTTTCCATGGGGGACTTACATGTGCACTCCAATGTATGAGGAAAGAACTAAGAAGAAATGCTCTGAACATAAAACAGTGGGAACCCTGGAAGGGAAGCAAGCAAATCTGGGGTGGTGGGTAAAGGGGAAGTGAGTCTTATCTGCCATGTTCCAATTTTCCAAAATAGGGAGGATACATCCATGTGAGTAAAAGAACTAAGAATGCTTTCATTGGTTAAATACTGCACAACTGAAATGGGGCATTCAGGTATTAAACTATCCAAAACCTCATTCAATATACAGGAAATTCTTCTGTGGCAGGATTCCTGGCCCATACTGAGGTGTGAGGGGTGGGATGGTGTGGAAGAAAAGGAGAGTGGGCATGGCCAGGGACCCAGGAGAGAACAGAGCAGGCAGGGCCTAGGTAGAGGGGAGCTCAGAGCTGGGAGCAGGACAGTAGCAGAGGGACCTGAGCCTACAAATGGAGGTGCTGTGGTCACTCACCAAGGGGCTTCCCTGTGTGGATGTCAGTGATGAAGCCGGGGACCTGGTTCCCACACAGGATCTGATAATCCACTGGACAAAGGAAAGAAGGGTGGAATGGGTATGGGAAGGATGGATGGATATACGGATGAGTGGGCAGGTGGATGGATGGATGAGTGCAGGGATGGGTAGATGGATGGATGGGTCACTGGACAGAAGCATGGATGGGTGGATGCATGTGTAGGTGGGTGGATGGATGGATGAGTGCAGGGATGGGTAGATGGATGGATGGGTCACTGGACAGAAGCATGGATGGGTGGATGCATGTGTAGGTGGGTGGATGGATGGATGAGTGGATGGACGGGTGGACAGATGGATGGATGAGTCAATGGATGGATGCAGGCATGGGTGGGTGGGTGGATGGATGGATAAGCAGACGGATGGATACATGGATATGAAGATGCATGAATGGGCTGATGGATGAATGCATGGACGGAGAATGGATGGATGATGGATGGAAGGATGCATGGAGGGATGAGTAGATGTATATATGGATGGGTAGATGAATGGATGGGTGGATGGATAGATTAGAGGTTGGATGAATGCATAGATAGAGGAGGGATAGATGGATGCATGGAGAGATGAGTGGATGTACATATGGATGGATGTATGGATGGGTGGATGGATAGATTAGAGGATGGATGAATGCATAGATAGAGGAGGGATAGATGGATGCATGGAGGGATGAGGGGATGTACATATGGATGGATGAATGGATGGATGGGTGGATAGATAGATGAGTGAATGGATGAATGAATGGATGATAGATGGAGAATGAATGATGGTTGGATGGATGCATGGAGGGGTGAGGGGGTATATATATGTACGGATGCATTAATGGATAGATGATAGATGAGTGGATGGATGAATGCATGGATAGAGGATGGATGGAAGGATGAGTAGATGGATGGGCACATGGATGCATGGGCACGGTAGGCCCTGCCCCACTGATATCCTTGCCCTTTCCATCACCCCCTCCTCTGGAATCACCCTATCCCTCCATTCCTGCAGCCCAGCCCCTAACCAGTCTCCCGGCCCCTTCCCTACCTCCACTTTGACCAGCACTGGGAGGGTTAAAGGATGAGCCTGTGCAGTGTGGTCTCCCAATGCAAAGACCAACCTCCCCCACCCCTGCCCTACATAAGCACCATCAACCAGTCCCCAGTGTCCTCATGATGAAATCTTCAGTTTGGACCTCAAGACTCTCAGCCCCCACCCCCACCTCTCCTGCAACCATCATCCTCTGCTCCATCTACACTGATTTATTTGCACATCTGGACATGACATGCTCTGTGAGACCACCTTTGTAACCAAACTCCAACCTTAAGGACTTAGGGCAGCCAACTGTAAAGCCCCCCAATTCCTCCACCCTGACTTGAGGCAGCACACGGACTCCTAGAGCAACTCATTGTCCCATTACATTTTGCTGATGCCACTGAGATGTGACCTGCTAGCCCTCAGTTTCCAGGAGGAGCAGATCCAGATGTATCCATATGGATGCAAATGTTGGGACTGTGCCCCCTTGTCACCCATCCCCAGATCCTGCCTGGCTCACTAGCTGGTCCTCTGCCTGCGTCCTGTGACCAATCACAGCCAGCTTTTCTGTTGGTGTAGACTTCTGCCTTGTCCTTTTCTACCTGCCACCTAGCTTCAGGTGTACACGTTCAAGGGCAGGCAACTGGGGTACCACATGTGTTCTTGACAATCCCAGTCAGTACTGGCTATGTGCATCTTTCTCCCAGCCTGTACAACCCAGAAGGGGAAGCTGACTCTTACTCTTGCCTAGCACCCACATACGCTAAACCATGAGCTCTCCCATTGGACTGTAAACTGCTAGCTGACCCCTCTCATCACTGCCCACTCCTGCAGCTCTCAGACAACCTGGGCTGGCTGCTAGATCATTTCATCAAGTATCATCCCAGCTGCCAACCCGTTCTACTCCACCCTGCTCCTGGGCCTTTGCTCATGTAGCTCCCTTGCTTGGAATGGCCTTCCCTACCCTGACCTACATCCTCATCAAGGCCAGTCCTCCCCAAAGCTTCCTGAGTCTTCCCTGCCCTCAGCCCTGGGGGCCTTGGTTCCTGTAACCAGCTGTGCTTTCTTCCCAGCCCAGGCACTCACTAAGTCCCCAAACGGTCTGTGGAAGATGCCTTGCCCCCAACAAAATTACTCGTTTCTGTACACTGTGATGGAATGTTGGCTCTTCAGCTTCCTTGAGAAGAAGGTGGGCTAATCTGGGAGCCTGAAATGGGCTGTACCTCTGTAAAAACCCCACACCAAATTCCAACCCATGGTAATTCCATGTGTCACAGAATCGAACTGTGCTCCATGGAGTTTTCAAGGGTGTGACCTTTTGGAAGCAGATCACCAGGCCCTTCAAACTGCCAACCTTTCGGTGAGCAGTGCAGTGCTTAACCATTTGCACCACCCATGGTCTCCCACCGCTCCATAAACTGGGCACTAAGAAGGGCCAGGCTGGGAAGAAGGCACTCACGGCTGGCAGGGGTGGGGCAGGCCTCACAGGGTCTGTTCCAGGCCCGGCCGATGTTGTAGGAGCAGCAGCACATCTTGCGGGTCACGTTGAAGGACAGCTCATTCTGACATGTGCCATTATAGTGCCGGAAGCAGATGCTCTTTCTCATGTCTGTGGTTGAGGTCAGGGAGAGAAGGAGTCATGAATCCATTTAGAAATTACCAGCTTGATGACTCTGTCCCCACGGACTTGGGCATTGTACAACCTGGGCAACCATTCATGGCAGCCCTGGTCCCCCAAATCCTAGTCTCTTCTGGGTCATTCATTACAGTATCTCAGCACCTCAAATATACCCAAGCCCTCCCTCTCCCTCCTCCCTAAACACGCATTTCCAAGGCTCAGAGACTCCCAGCACTCCCTCCTGTACCCACATGCTGCTCCCACAACTGCTGGTCCCCGGGGTCATCACACTTCCTACCCATGCAGTTGTTGCCGCCATTGACTTGCAGGTACTCGGCAGGGCAGACACAGGTGTAGTTCCCCAGGGTGTTGTAGCAGGTGCCAGGGCCACAGATGCCCGAGTGTGCTGAGCATTCATCGATGTCTGCAGGGAAGGGAAAGGGCATCTGGGAATTATTTGAATAAATCTCCACTCCCATTCCACGTCCAGTGGAACCACTTCATCATGGGCTGGAGTTTGGTTTCAAGATCAAGCTTAAAGTGCAGAGACATTCCACTCCCAGATGTTTACCCAGAAGTAAAGGTAAGGACACAAACAGACTTGCATAATAGTGTTCACTGCAGCACTAGTCACAACAGCCAATGTGTGGAAACAACCCAAGTGCCTATCAAATTTACACACCCACCACTAAAGCCAAAGATGAAGAAATCGAACATTCTTATCAACTTCTGCAGTCTGAAATTAACCAAACATGCACTCAAGATCTATTGATTATTACTGGTGATTGGAATGCAAAAGTGGGAAACAAAAATCAGCAGCAGCAGTGGAAAATACGGCTTTGGTGATAGAAATGATGCTGGAGATTGTATGATAGAATTTTGCAAGCTCAATGACTTACTAACTGCAAATACCTATTCAACAACATAAATGGCGACTATATACATGGATCTCACCAAATGGAATCAGATCGACTATGTCAGTGCAAAGACGCAATGGAGAAGCTCAGTATCTTCAGTCAAAACAAGGCCAAGAGCTGACTATGGAACAGACCAACAACTGCTCATATGTAAGTTCAACTTGAAGCTGAAGAAAATTAAAACAAGTTCATGAAAGCCATTGACCTTGAGTATACCCACCTGAATTTAGAGACCATCTGAAGAACAGATTTGATTCACTGAACACTAAGTACCAAACACCAGATGAGTTGTGGGATGATATCAAGAAAGAGTATCATACATGAAGACTGCAAAAGGTCATTAAAAAGACAGGAAAGGAAGAAAAGACCAAGATGGATGTCAGAAGAGACTCTGAAACTTGCCCTTGAATGGAGAGTAGCTAAAGCAAATGGAAGAAATGACAAGATAAAAGAGCTGAACAGAAGATTTCAAAGAGCAGCTCAAGCAGACAAAGCCAATTATTATAATGAAATGTGCAAAAACCAAAACGGAAGAACACACTCACCATTTCTCAAGCTGAAAGAACTGAGGAAAAAATTTAAGCCTCAAGTTGCAATATTGAAAGATTCTATGGGCAAAATATTGAACGATGCAGGAAGTATCAAAAGAAGATAGAAGAAATATAGTCACTGTACCAAAAAGAATTGTCTCAGGAGGTAGCATATGATCAAGAATCAATGATATCAAAGGAAGAAGTCCAAGCTACACTGAAGGAACTGGCAAAAACAAGTCTCCAGCAATTGACAGGTTACCCATTGAGATGTTTCAACAAACATATGCAGCACTAGAGGTGCTTACTGGTTTATGTCAAGAAATTTGGAAGATACCTATCTGGCCACCTGATCGGAAGGGACAGATATCTGTCCCTATTCCAAAGAAAGGTGATCCAAAAGAATGTGGAAATTATTAAACAATACCATTAATATCACACACAAGTAAAATTTTGCTGAAGATAATTCAAAAACAATTGCAGCAGTATATTGACAGAGAATTTCCAGAAATGCAAGCTGGATTCAGAAGAGGACATAGAACAAGGGATATCATTGTTAATGTCAGATGGATCTTGTCTCAAAGTAAAGAATACCAGAAAGATGTTTACCTTTGTTTTATTGATTATATAAAGGCATTCAATTGTGTGGATCATAACAATTTATGGATTACATTGCAAAGAATGGGAATTTCAGTACACTTAACTGTACTCATGAGGAACCTGTACATAGACCAGGAGGCTGTTGTTTGAACAGAACAAGGGGAAACTGCATGGTTTAAAATCAGGAAGGGAGTGCGTCAGGGTTGTATCCTTTCCCTATACTTACTCAATCTGTATGCTGAGCAAATAATCTGAGAAGCTGAACTATATGAAGAAGAATGTGGCATCAGGATTGGAGGAAGATTCATTAACAACCTGCGATATGCAGATAACACAACCTTGCTTGCTGACAGTGAAGATGACTTGAAGCACTCACTGATGAAGATTAAAGACTAGTCTGGAGTATGGATTACATCTCAACATAAAGAAAACGAAAATCCTCACAAGTGGACCAATAAGTAGCATCACAATAAATGAAGAAAAGAATGAAGTTGTCAGGGATTTTATTTTACCTGGATCCACAATCAACAACCATGGAAGCAGCGGTCAAGAAATCAGACGTCATAATGCACTAGGCAGATCTACTGCAAAAGACTTCTTTAAAGTGTTAAGAAGCAAAGATGTCACTTTGAAGACTAAGGTGTGCCTAACCTAAGTCATGGTCTTTTCAATAGCCTCATATGCATGTGAAAGGTGGACAATGAATAAAGAAGACTGAAGAAGAGTTAATATGTTTGAATTGTGGTGAAGACACACAACACGTGAGGATTGTCTACAAGAAAGGGAATGCCAAGGACTGTCAGCAATCATCAGAAACGAGGAGAGGGGCTCACAGAGGGATGGACATGGCGACACCCTATTTGGACATTTTGCTTCCAGCTAATGAGCTAATAAACTGATGTTCTTAAAGCCACCCACTGTGATATTTGTAGCTCTAGGTAACTAAGGCACTTTCCCTCTCCCAATCCTCCCAATGGGCTCCAGACAGCATGGCAGGTGAGCAGTTCTCTAAAAGTATTTCAAGCCCCAGTACCCAAGGGGAAAGTGAGGCTGAGCAGGGCATAGAGGCAGGGAGGGAAGGAAGAGGCTGGCTTAGCCTGGGGGGGCCTGTGCTCACCCTGACAGAGGCGGGTGTCCTCATTCAGGTGATATCCGGGTGGGCACTCGCACTGGAAGCTGCCGAAGGTGTTCACACAGTTGCCTCCCTGGCAGAGGCCTGGAAGCTCCTGGCACTCGTCAATATCTGCCAGGAAGTGAGGTGGCCATGACTGGAGGCTACACCCAAGCAGAGGACTCAGGGGACACCCATACCCGACCCTGTACTCTTGAGGGTCCCACAGGAGCCTAAGGGCTATCCCATAGCTGTTAGGCATTTGGAGGGTTTGGGTCAGGGTTTCCCTTGAAAGCTGGACCCACTTTGTTGAGTCACTGTCACCCTGAATTCATCCCCTTCCCCCTCATTGGATAGTTAACCATCTATCACAGTTCCCTGTGGTTGAAATATCTTCTCCAATCTCACTATTTCCTGTGGATAGAAGGATGGATGGATGAATGAGTGGATGGATAGGTAGATGGATGGATGACTGGATGGATGGATGGATGGATGGATGGATATGAAAAGTAGTGGATAAATGA